AATATAATAACAGTTTTTTTATGAAAAATTTATAAAAACAATCCAAAAAAAAATATATTTTAATTGGATTAATGATGAAGACCCTGTTTCAGTCAACGGGAATCCAAAATATTTTTTTCAAATATCAATTATTTTATAATTGACCTTCGAAGAAAAAATAAGAAATTAGCAGAATAATACACATCAAAGAATTGTTGATTTATGTCTAAAAGAAAACTAATAAATCAATATATTTACTTAAAAATTGAAAAACTCAAATTCTTAGTGACATATGCAGAAAAACAACAGTGTTTGTTTTGAACTTCAACTGATATTTGAATAATAAATAGGAAACAATTTTCATTTCATTTTTTATACTTTTCTTTTAGAAACCAAGTCCCCAAACGAAGTGGTTGGTATTTGTGACCTCTATTTGAAAAAGGAAATCAAAATGAATTGAAAATTTTTCACATTAATTATTCAAATATCAGGATCAAAGATCGAATAGAATTCCAATAGAAATCAATATTATTTCTCAACAATCATTTCCATGGTTTCAATAATATTGGAATAACACATTTTTACCAAATGACTATTGATCTTGCAATAAAAAAAAAATTTGCAAATGTATTATGTTTGATAAAAAATCAAAAAAAAAAAACGAAAATATTCATCAAGGTGAAAAAAATATTTCAATTTTGAAAATTTCCAAAATAAAATTTTTCTTCTAAACCCGTTCTAAAAATTTTTACACACCCAAAATCAAAAATAGGCAAAAAAACCCAATTTATTGTATTTTTCCAAACCTAATATAAAACCACTTTTAAGTAACCCAGTATTAATGTTTTAATAAGTAATCATTTTAATCCAAATAAAAGAAAAAAATATAAAACTCAAAAATAAAAACAGGTGTGTCCAAAATAATGAAATGAGCTAGAATAAAAAAGTGTATTAGTCAATTTGTTGAAATTTCACCAACAATTGTTGATCGATCAAATGATAAGATACCATCAACCAATTGTATATCATTTTTCCAATTCAACAAACTCAGCATTGCCTTCTATAAACCATCGAAAAAAAAATTACCAGATCTAATGAAACAGATTACGTAACTGCGAAAAAGGAAATGAAAACAAAACAAAAAAGACAAAAAATGAAATAGTTTGTAAAATCAAAATTCTTTCCAATTTAAATTTAAAGTGAGGTATTGATGTTCTTTCCACTGTTTAAACTGTGTCCAAATTTTTGGAATTTAGTTTAGTATCTATACAAACCCTTTTAAACACATGCATTTTACCTATTAAAACTAGGATCTGTTGACTGAAAAATATTTTATCTCAGAAAAATATGAAATGTATTAAAAAAAGAAATATATTATTTATCCATAAATAAAGAGATGAGGGCATCCCACTTAATTATCGTCCCATTTCAATTATTCAAAATCTTCAAATATTTTTTCTGAAATTTTTCTATAGTGGAATCTAATATTCTTGGAATTTAAAAAAAAATTAGATATCAGAATTACATTTTTAAAGTTTATGAATGAGTATCAAAAAATAAAAAATAAATTTATAAAAAAAAAATATTTATATTGTTACAATAGATATCCAAAACTATATTGACTCTTTTAACCATTCACTTATTTATTAATTGAATAAAAAATCAATAAAAAGGAAATTATTATAAAATATCTAATTTCTTATTACTCAAAGGAAATAATTGGTGTTTATCAGGGAGGTACATTATCTCCTTTATTATTTGGATTTATTACCCAGTTCCTCTTAGAAAAAAACTAAATCGCTAGCACTACAGGTCGAAATGTTTGCTATGATCTGATTTTACTTATTGAAAAATCATAATAGAAATCAATTTTTAATTATATAAGCTACATTTTAAAATTAGGGGAAATCTTTATTATTATTATTTTTTTCTTGTTTTATTTTTGTATTTCAAAAAATAAAATGATTACACTATATTTTTGTTTATTAATCTATAGAGTCAGTTCCACTTTTAAGGCACAAACTTCAACGAAATTAAAGGCACAATAAAAATCCCAAATTAAAGCACAAAATTCATTTATGAGTAAAATAAAATGTAAAAAAAAAAAAAAAAATCTAAATTTTGTGCCTTAAATGGAGATTATTTTGTGCCTTTAATTTCGTTGAAGTTGTGCATTAAATTTGAAACTGACTTTATTGGTTATTATCTCTAAACACTTTAGTAAAATACATTATTATTCAAAAAATAAAAACAATTACTCAAATTTTTTTATGATGGAAAATATGCCGCTATTTTTGAAATTTAGCTTATATATAAAAAATAATATACGAAGAGATTACTGGATGGATCCTAGCAATGATAAAAATAAAAAAAACTTTATTTCCAAAAGAAAATTTCATATCTTGGTATTTAGATAGATAACAAACTAACTCATTCATAAATTTAACATAGATTAATTTATGACTAATTTTAAAAAATAAATCAATCTTTTACAATAAAAAAATTTTCTAATGGATTAAAAAACCAGTTTTTTAAATCTTTGTTACATAACCAACTTTTAATGGATTAAATATATTTGATTTAACAAAAACAGATTTTAAAGATATTGATACTTGGATTAATAAAAAAATTGTGAATTTTTTAGCAATTAACCTACATTCTCCAAGCTTATTTATAAAATTTTAGTAAAAATTGATCTTTTCAGAATAATAATATATAACAGAAGATTTAAGTTAATTCAAAAAATAAAAATACTTGGGGTTGATGAATGAATTAAACATCCCAAGTTTAGAAATAAAGAATCTGAAAATATTCATTTGGTATTCCAAAATTTAAAATAGCTCGAAATTGACCTAGACAATTTCAGAATTAAAAATTTAGAAAATAGTACAAGTTGGAAATGTTGCTATGTGTTTTTTTAATTTAAGAAATTAAAAAAAAATAAGAAAATTTTCAGTTCATTTCTTTAAATTCTGGAAAATCATCATTAGTTTCTTTTTAATTAGAGAAAAAAAAATCCTAACCGTATTTTTCTTGAGTTTTTCTGTTTTTTCTGTGAAATCAATTGATTGTTGTTAGGTTTTTTTTAATTTTTGAAATAAACAGAAAATTTTAATAAATTTTCAGTTTATTTCAAAAAGTTAAAAAAACCTAGAACACTTCACGAACAAACAGAAATCTCAAGAAAATCAACTCTATTTTTCTCGAATTCATAAGAATAGAATGTATACAATTTTTTAAAGCAATTCTTTTAAATTTTGGAAAACATAATGAAAACAGTTATAGGTTTTTTTTTTATCTTTTTGGAATAAAGGGAATATTTATTTAAGGAAGTAAGTACATTTTACTATTTTGAATAATTTGAATTGTGAGAATCTTACTGGAAAATTTTTTTGAGTGCCACCAGATATTGGAACTTTGAAACCAAAACACCATCCACTAGTCTATTAGTGAATGGAATCAAAGTAATTCAGAGTTGAATCTTATTTTTTTCAATTTTTTGAACATTTTTTCTGATTCAATTTTTGGTTTTATTAAATTTTTTTTTGGATCTAGAAATGTGTTTATACCAATGATTGAAATTAATCAAACAGTAAACTAACAAAATATACCCAAAAGGGTGTGCATTTGAAACAAATAATTTCTTTTAGAAGACCAAACACGAATGATCACCATTCCAAATAAATTTGTTGAAATCAAGAATGAAAAAAAAAAAATCGATAAAAGCTTATTTTTGAAGATTGTTTTTCTTTATCTTCTTAGTTTTGCTTGAATACAAACTATTTTTTTCCTTGAATTTCTCGCCCCATTACTATTTATTATTATTTTAAAAAACCTTTTGTGACAAATTTGCTATCAAAATTCTTTTTTAAAATATTTTTCTCAAACAAAGCTAAAACGAGGAATACTATTTCAAAACTTAAAATAAAGGGGTTGAATTCTTGGAATCAAAAAACAGTTAAAAAAGATTCAAATCAAAATAATTGTAAAATTCAAGAACAAATTTCAATCAGATTCAGAATTTTTTTGAGTTCTCATTTTAATGGAAAATAAATAATTATAAAATCAAACGAATTCATCCAATAAACCCTCATTCTCAAGAAGAATTACAAAAATCTCTGATTTTCTGAACTAAAACAAGAATTAGATGAATTAAATGAAAATAGGATTTTTAAATTCATTTTGGAAATTCTTTCGAAATAAACAGTAATTTGTTTATCAAAAATTTTCCAAATAAAAATTTTTTAATAAAGAATTAAAAATAAAACCAAATAAAGAATAAGTAATGGTGTAAAATTTTATAGATAAGATCAAGTAATAAATGATTTTTATTTATTTTTTTTTTAATCAATTTTTTCATTTTTTTGATTTGCGTGTTTTTATTGGTATGAAAATATCTTCTACTAGGATATATTCCACTCTAGTATTTATGAAAATATCAATGTATTTGGCCAAAGAAATGATTTGAATCATTCAGTTTCACATAAATGGTGGCACTCAAAAAATGAAAAATGTACTTACCCCCTTAAAATTTAGTTGTTTTCTAAAATCAGAAAAAAAAATTTTTTTTTTAATTTAAAATAACAAATAATTCTTTAATTTTCCAAATACTTGATTATCCATTTAAAAGGTGTTTTTTATATTTAAAATACTTTTAAATATAATAAAATGGCCTCTTAACTGTGAAGAAAAAAATACTCAATTTTTTTAGTATTAAATTGAAAAAAAATATTAATAAAACCTTAAAAATTGGTTTTTGCCAACTTAAATTGTAAAATATCTTTAAAATAATAATTGATACAAGATCTTTAATTAACCAATAGTGTTTAGGTTAAGTTAAGTTTTTAATAGTGAAAAATTAGCAAATGTTTAATTTTTTTTTTAAAAATTGTTTTTTGATCGTAATGTTCGAAAGGTTGTCAACACGTGTAAGTAGTAATTCAATTCAAATGACTAAAAAAATAGTTGTGAAAAAAGTTTGTTTAATTGTAAATAAAAAGAATTCAATAAGTGAGAAAAAAAGGGCGCACGTGGAGTCGAACCCCGGACCTATTGATCTGCAGTCAATTGCTCTACCACTGAGCTATACGCCCTTGACATTAACTACAAGTCTTTTTATTTTATTAGTTTTATTATATCTAATATTCAAAAATTGAAAAATAACAATCTACTCATTACTTTCAGATACACAAAACCATTTCACAACATTAATCTTAAACATCTCAACAATAAAACCAACTGTAAAACCAATCTAACAAAACTAAAATACAAATTCACAGATCACAATTATTTCACCAATATACAAACAAACTAAATAAATTCAACAAAATAAAATTGAATAAAAAAATCATAACATAAAATAAACAAACCATACAATCAAAAACAACTAAAAAAAAATACTAACAAAAACCAAACAAAAATAGTTAGATGGAATATTAAATAATAATAATACAGCGATTAAAAAAATGCTCGCACAACAAATCTAATCTATTTTCAAATTCAATTCAATACATTTTTTTCTTCTTTTCCAAGACAACTTCACAAGAGTATACCTAAATATAAATCAATTTTGAAAATAAACATCTTTATTTTTTCTCTAAAATTTAAATTGAGAATGAAATTTGTTCAAAATTTATCGTTTTATTTACAATTTTTTTGAAATTTTTTGTATTTTTTTGATGTTTTTTTAAAAATTTTAAGAAAAATTTACTCTATTTTTGAGATATATTTTCTATTTTGATCCTTCATTTTTAACTTTTCATTAGAAATAATAACGCTTTAAGAAACCAATTCCATATTTAATTAGGTTTTAGGTTGGTTTGGTTGCTCTGTTAATGTATAGGTGTTCTATAACAAAAAAAAACTTTTTGTATTTTGAAAAAAGGATTAACTTTTTCTGCAAACACTCTTTTGACAACAGTAGTGATTACAGAAATTATCGAACTTTTTTTGAATTTTGCTTTCAATAAAGATAATCTTTGAATAAATTTCGATCTCATTGTATTTTTTTTTAATCTTTTCTATGTTCACCTTCTCCTTTCGTACCTTAAGAGACCTCTATGGGTTGTGAATTTTTTTTTTCTTCATTATCCCTTAAAAGGAATTTATAAATGAAAATTTTTATAAGAATTATTATATAATTAACAATTCTTCTGATAATTATCAGAAATGCTAGTTCACTTTATTTAGTAGTATTCTTAATCAACTCACTTTCGTTAAAATAAATTTTGTAGAGTTTTTTTCATAGGTGATACAAATAAAAAAACCATATTTCTTTTTTATAGAAGATTTATACGGCCTAATTAAAAGAAAGTGACAATAAGATTAAGTAAGTATGGTATTGGTTTCTTAAAGTCCTCTTATTAATAAATCAATTCCAAAAATGAAATATCTATAAAAAAAAATATCTCAAAAAATGGAGTTAATTATCTTTATCCTCTTGATCCAAAAAAAAACAAAAAAATCAAAAAAAACTAAGAAAATTGAGAAAAATTTCTAAAAAATTGTATTCCTAATTTAAATTTTACTGAAAATATCAAGGAGTTATTCTTTCAAAATTGATTTGCCCTTGGGTATACAGTTGTATTGTAAATTTAATTTTATTAAAACTCGAAGAAAAAAAGCATAAATTATTATTTGAAACACAAATTTTATGCTCTTCAAATATATGTTTTGGGTCATTGTATAGCAATTCCAACCCAATTGTAAAACTTTATAATACATAAACATTGTTAATATCTTATAAAATTGTGTTTTATGATGTAGAATATACATAATATATAATTAGATAAAAAAGTCAAATTCTATTTTATCATAATCGAAATTTTTATTTTATAATCAACAAATATAAAAATTGAATTTCAAATGAAAAGCAATTAAGAATTTTGAAAGCTTTTTTAGACCTTTTACTTTAAATATTCACATCTGTGATTTTTTCCCATTTTGGAAATTGAAGTTCTACACGACAAATTAATAAAAAAATTTTTCAATAAAAATTAAATAATTACGAAATTTAGACTTTTTGATAACTTCACCAATAATAAACTATTGGTTAAGAAACGATCTTGGATTAAAAAATTTTTTTGAGAGATATTTTACAAATATAAGTTGGAAAATACAAGTCCCCAGGTTATATTAAGATTTTTTTAAAATGTAATATTAAAAAAATTGAATATTGTTTTTTTTTTTTTTTTTTAAGAATTTATAATAATAATCATTAAAAGGTATTTCAAATTTTATAAAGATTTTTCAAATGAAGAATCAATTAAAGCGATGATTAAAGAATTATCTATTGATTTAAAATAGAGTAAAATATATTTGATTTTACTTAATACTTTTAAATTCTGGAAAACCTAACGGCGGTTTTTTAATTTTTGAAATAAACCAAAAATTTTTTTAATTTTCAGTTTATTTTAAAAAGTAAAAACAAACCGCAGTTAGCTTCTCCCAAATTTAAAAGAATTGAGGAAAATCAAATATTTTTCTCTACTCTTTTGAATTCTGGAAAAGTGTCGTTAGATTTTCTTGAGTTTTCTGTTTATTTGGAAAATCAATAGATTTTGTTCTAGGTTTTTTTTACTTTAGAAATAAAAATAGAAAACCTCAAAAAAACCTAGAACACTTCAGAAATAAACAGAAAACTCAAGAAAACCTAACGACGCTTTTCCAGAATTCAAAAAATAGAGTAAAATATATTTGATTTTACTTAATACTTTTAAATTCTGGAAAACCTAACGGCGGTTTTTTACTTTAGAAATAAACCAAAAATTTATTATAATTTTCTGTTTATTTCAAAAAGTAAAAAAAAACCTAGAACACTTCAAGAATAAATAGAAAACTCAAAAAAAACATACGAAAATCTATTTATTTCACAAATTGGCAGAAAACTCAAGAAAACCTACCAGCAGTTTTTTTTACTTTTAATAAGAATAAACTGAAAATTTCATGAATTTTCTTTTCATTTCTAGAATTAGAAAAAAACCCAACATAGCTTTTACATCATACAAAGAAATGAATAAATTCAAATTTTTGACTCCTTTCTGTTTATTTAAAAAAAATCGAAGAACTAAAGAGGAAATTAACCCTCTACCTTAGATTACTTCAAGGAAAAAAAAAAAAAAAATCAAATTTGAATTTTCTGAGCATAATATATGCAGGTTTGGTGTTTGACAAAAATTTCTTTACCCAACCAATTTAAATCATGTTATTTATTCTCTTTTTTATTGAAAAATGATTTTTCAAATCCCAAAAATAATAGAAAAAAGAAAAATAGTTTTTCAAGAGATATTTTGACAGCAAGGAAATTAACTTTTTTTCAAGTTTTGATCAAAAAACGGGTACAAATTAACTTAAAATGAGAACCATAAAAAGAATTTTTTAAAAGGAGATCATTTTTTGAAAAGAAGAAAAATCAAAAAAAAAACAAAAAGAAGAATGAATCAAAAAAATTTATTTCTCGTACAGACTTTTGGTAAAGTCTAAATTATTCTTAGTGTTCAATAAAAAAGATTGTAATTCTTTAAATGTTGGATCAAATAGTATGGTGGCCTGAATTATTTTTCCTAGTCTGAGTCAGATTTTTCGCTTGGTTGTGATTCGTTGGATGAAGTTACCTGATCCTGACTTAAAAGATCACTAAAACTGCCAGATTCGGAGCTTAAGTCATATCTGCTTTCTTTTAAAGGTTGGTGTTCACTTCTTTTCTCTGTTGGACAAATACACCCCATGTCAAAGTTTTTTGATAGAATATAAAAAAGGAGAAAAAGTTTAAGAAATTGAAAAAATGGAAATGAGAATAATTTGTTCAAACTTCTCTTGTTTGATTTACGAAAACAAAATTAAGAAATACAGACTCTCTTTGGAAATAATATTAGAACACTTGAAAAAGTTGTAAATCGAGAATTAAAATCTTAAAAATAATTCCTCAATAGGATCTTCTTTGTGTTTGTTGAAAGAAATCTTGAAATTGGAATTTTGTCTAGTCCCGGGTTTAAACTAAAGTTCATTTTTCAACATAACTATTTGATAGAACCCTTTGGGAGAACTTGAATTTTTAATTTGTATCTTTTTATTCTCGATATTGAAATTTAATTCCTTGCCAATTGAAGCTCGATAAATTTTCTAAAAATAGGATCTTGGATTTTTTAAAGGACAATCAGAATTTACTATCTGTGAAAACTGAAATTAAATATTATTTAGAGAAAAAAGGGTTTAAAAGATGCCTTTTAAGGGACTAGTAAACTAAAAATAATCTTCAAGTAAATTTAATAGCAAATTCAAAAAAATATTACCTCATCTTGAAATTGAAAAATAAAGTAAAAATCTGATCACTACAATACCAAACTTACTTTTAATGCTATTTTCAGAAATGAATTCTTGTTTTTTAAAGTTTGAACCATTTTTTTACTCATTTTTGAAAAGTTAGAAATTAAACATATTTCTGAATCATTTATCAAAATTATTTCCTTCAAGAAGAAGAATGAAATCTTATTATCTGTAAAGCAAGTATACAAAAATACACTTTAAAAATAAAACCACAAAGTTTCTAAAAGAACACAAGATAAAAAATCTACTTAATTTTAAACAAAATTAAAATAATTATTTTAAACTTGAAAAAAGATAATTTTTTAATTCAAAGAAATACTTCAAATCAATTTTTTCAATTTATTAAATAAAAAAAATTCGGAGAAAAAGAACCCAAACGATCAAATTAAAAATTCCCCCAAAATACTTTTTTTAAAATCTGGAAAATTCAACTTATCATCCAAAGAAATAATTTTTAATTTGATAATTTTGAATCAATAATTAATAACTCAATCTTAATTCTTTCAGTAAGTTATTAACATCACAAAGACGAAATATATAAATATTGTTTATTATTATTTCTAAATTTTTTAAATATTTCCAAACAAATAAAACCAATTCAATTAAATAAATCTAATAATAAAAAAAATACTAGATATTTCTCAAATAACTGATTTTAATAGAAACAGTTCCTTGTTTATACTCTTAAATATTTGGAAAGGAATATTATATAAACTCTTAAATTTCTAGAAATGTAATAAATATTTGTGAATAAAATTAATTAACAATT